TTGACTCAATACCATAAACGTATTTATTATGCATGAGTTTGTTTTGCGATATTCGACATTCCAAAAAAAACTACTTTCAGTTCACTTTCATTGTTATACACTTTCGTCTATTTTATATACTTTCTAAAACTTACCCTCTCTGTGCGTAAAACTAAGCAGAATGCTAAAGTTTTGCTCTGGGAGATCGATGAGGTATCGGAGCCGTCCCATTTGGCAGTGGTCAGTGTCTTTGGTCACTCTAAAACTAGGCATATATTCACTGCCTGGAGAAGATAAACCAGTCAACAAATCAATCTCTACACGGCTCAAGATTAAGGTGTTTGGCAATACACACAGAAGTGTTGACTTACCGTTTCGTATGCGAATATCAAGCGAGTGATTTTGTGGATCTCCCAGTACATCCACAACGCAATCGCCTCCATCTTGTGTTTGCAGTGAATGCTCTCCTTTGAGAATCTGAAGTCTGCAGTTCCGAAACGACTGCGTCTTTACCGCCGTTTTGGCATTCATAGGATAGTCCATGGGAATTTCGTGCCGTTAGACTCTGCGCTAGGAAAACAACTTTAATACACGTGCGATTTGTCAATGAATTTATTTCTTCATCGCTTATTTCGCGAGCCCGCGTTATTTCCTTCGTTGAGAAACAGAGGTTATTTTCATCGAATCGGGTCCAGTCTTTGCGGTGTAAGTTTGTCACGTGCTTCACGTGGTGACGCGCGCCCACGCGTGTATAAAAAAACACGAATTTGGAAACTTCAAAATGGTTATGAAACCCGACAAAGTTCTTTGTTGTATGTTTTTGTTCGCCTTTTTGGCCTTAACCGTGCACAAAACACAACAGTTGTTTACTCCGTACTGAGGAACTAACCGTTACGTAATACACGCATAGTGTATGGGGCTATGAGCGCAAGGTCGTGGACCTTCCAACATAAATCTTAAAATCATTGTTTGCTCCTTTGATGTTTGCCGGCCTTCATAACTAAACCCCTCGATTAACTATGTTCAGATGTACCAACAACCATGAAGGACATTTTTTTTTTTTTTAGAAGAATTTCATTGACCTTCTTGAAGTCTCTTAGCTACCTGTTTGGATTTCAAAAAAAATTTGATGTAAATTTGTCACGCAATATTAATTTATATCACAAAAGCCACTATATATAGCTTCCATGATCCAGTATTCGATCTGTTTGAACTTTAACTTGGAAATGATGTATAAAGTGAGACTATGAGGAAAAAAGTGAATTGATGGTCAGAAAATCGATCTATGTACGCTTGATTATGGCTGCCTAGCTATCATTCTATCCATTTATTTGCCACAAAATATGGAATCGATAACACAATGAATAAAATTGGGCGTGTTCAAAACACGAAATGGCGAAATGACGAAATGGTATACTTTAACAATTAACGCATACAAAGTAGAGAGCTAACTGTCTTCAAGTCAGTGATATTTAGGCTAACCTA